TAAATAATGTATAAATAAATATAAGTTTATTTATAAATTAAATCTATATAACAATCAAAATAATAATCAGAATAAATACCAATGTCAGATTAGCCTTATTTAATGCTGTGATATAAGGAGCTTCAACACGCCCAATCAAATCATTTGTAATAGATTCAAGTTCGTTCCTTGAAATTGCGATCCTAAAATCTTTTTCTTCGTGTAAATTCTCTATCTTTGTAATTGATATTAAATAATAATTGTTTATAATTATTATATTACTATAATTATTATTGTTATTATTTACTATAATTATTATTATTATTACTATAATTATTATTGTTATTATTATTATTACTATAATTATTATTGTTATTATTATTATTACTATAATTATTATTGTTATTATTATTACTACTATTACTACTACTACTATACTACTATTATAATTTTACCAGCATTAAAAAACTTACTGAAGCAATTGTCTCTGTGTTGGCACTAAGAATTTGTTTCACTCTATTTGCTTCTTTAAATAGTTTTGTCATAGCACGATCAGACTTAAAAATGGATTCTTTCAACTTATTACTGTGTAAATTATCAAACTTTGTCGCAAAATATTTTCTAAGCCGAAGATCAAATTCTTGTCCCCCGAGAGTTCTATCGTATCCGGTTGATAAAACTTCTAAATTAATAAAAGTCTTGTTGAAAGGACCCGCATCCTTGTTATTAACAATATTAAATTTGATCACACTAGCTTTAGTGCTTCCAGCACCCATATCATAGAATAAATGAATTTGTGGATCCTCAGTAATAGAAGAAGAGTGTGTAATGGCATAGTTTATTCCAACTAATATAGTAAACTCGTCAATAATGGCAATTTTGAAAGATTATAAGAAAGAGCTGCAATAATTTTGATCAATAGACTAACCAGCTGTCAGATCATTAATCAAGGATAGCACACGTAATCCAGCAATTTCAGCAGCGTCCAGAATGGCTTGTCTTTCGAATTGATTATAATATGGAGGAACCTTGGTTTAATGCAATACATTAATATTAAATAAGACTTTATTTATAATTAAACATGTGAAAATAAAAAAATAGCAAAAAAAAATTACAGTAATAACACTATCTTTGACTTCTTCTTGTGCGGTGACTTCAGCTTGCTTTTTAGCATGAGATAATTGCATTGCAACTAATTCCTCAACAGAAAATGTTGTTGTCTCATTATGTTGAAATAAAACAGTTCCTCTTATTGGATCTTTTATTATTTTATTAGGAAAATTTGATTTATATTCTTGTACGTACTTATCATCTACTACTCTTCCAAGAAGCCTTTTAAGACTAAAGTAAGTATTGCTCGGAACTCTTGCCCCCTTTTATAAATTATTGACTTGATATTAGCAAAAGTTGGGAAATGTTTATTTTTAAAGAGTGAAAGTTTGTATGGATGATTAATATTAATAAAAACATACAATGTTAACAGCATCAGCACCGTATAATCTTTCATCGTCGCGAATAGTTATAACAGACTGTGTTTTTCTTTTGGAATCTCTGTTTAATACAATATTGAGTGGAATTCCCGGTTTTACTATTGAAACTTTAAACCAATCAGTTCCATAATCAATGCCAATGACAGTAGCAGCTTCAATTATTGATAATGAATTAAGTATTAATAATGTAAAAAAAGTAAAAACAAATAAGGACTGTTTTTCTATCATTTTGTCTAAAAAAATGAATTAAAAAAAAACACGTTAGAGGAAAAAAATATTTATTTTTTTTATTTCTTTGTCATACTTGTTGCGTTGTTAAATTGTTATTGGATGCAAGATAAAAATGTGCATAATAAAATCTGTCATGTTTTAGACCCAGTTTACATAATAATTTGTAAGTTCTCCTAAAAGTAATAGTAATAGTGTATCATCATTGATTTGGCTATCGTCTAAAAATCAACTTCCACATTTATTATTTTATGGTCTGCCTAAAACTGGTTCAATTTTTGTAGTTGTTAAGTAGGTTAATCATTTATATGATTATAAAAGTAAGTTCATACAAGTTCAAGTTATAATCAAATTTCTACAGAACTAATGAAGAAAGAAAATTTAATTTTTCTACTATATATAATCTTACTATTCATTATTATACTGAGAGTCCAGGTCACGTTCTCGTGATATTATTGGCTGGAGCTTTGATATATTCGTAATAATAAAATTAGCCAATAAAATTTCGCGTTTGGTTACAATTACAATATGCCAAGAGCTGTTAATAAATTATTTTCTAGTATGAACTATATAATATGTTCGTCAAAAAATTAAACGCAAGACGCGGATGCAATTCGTGATGTAATTCGTGACCGATACAAAGATGACAAAAATGGTAATGTTATATTTATATTGGTTGGTATTTAAACTAAATGCTCTATCAAAATAATTAAAGCTCATATATATTATCAATTATTTAGCATAAACCACATATGTTGGCAAAATTAAAAATCTTGTGATGTAGTTGATATGGCAAAAATGGTAACGTTATATTGATATTGATATTTAAGTCGAGGAAGAGATCAATTTCACAATCTTCTTTATCAAAAATAATTGGGTATCATCTCATACTCGTACAGCGGGCGACAGCAAAAGCCATCAATTATTATTGGCTTACCAAAAATGGTATCTACTCCTCAGGGGTGATCAATTTTAAAAAAATAATTGCACCAAATGATTATTTAGAAGTCAGTGAATAATTCGTTGCAGCCAGATTTTTTTTTTAAACTTAATAGCAAAAATTATAAGGGTTTAAAATTTCACTATTTTATATATAATTTTCAAAATTTGCCGCTGTTTGAAATGCCAAATCGCACAAAAAAAAAATAAAATCACTTCTTTCAAACTTACAAAAAGCTAACGAAGCCCGTCGTTGATTCAAACCGCGATTAGCAAATCTTTGAATTAAAGCTCTATCTAGATAATACAAAAACATTAAATTTATATGCATAATTATAAGGACCTGAGCTATCAAATAATATAAATTTCATATAGTTATTATAAAGGTTTTGTGGAATTTTCGAAAAACTGCGTTTTGAATACTTTCTTCGTATATATATTAATGTGATTTATTATGATAATTTTCTTAAATTTTATTGGCTAAAATTTGTACACGTGATAAATTTTAAAACTCAAATTTTGCCGCCCCTCTTGTATCACTTTGCTTTGATGGTTTTGCTGTCGCCCACTGTATATACCAAAGATAGAGTGAAGTAGTACGAATATGTGTTTCCTCACTCACAGCTATATATATATATATTTCAACAACTTGGTTATTTATATTACAGTGTTGGCATTTTGCAGGCCAAATGGCCAAAAAATTGTTTGGTCGCAGCCGAATGCCATATAATAGTAATGGAACCAGAAATAAAGCTATTGTCACAGTCTTCTTTCTGCTCTTCCACCTCCACCTCTACTGCCTCCACCACAATCATTACCACCACCACTACAAAAAATTCGAAATTATCACCAATCATTCAACTCATCAAAGATAAAATAATAATTCCAGCCACCCGACTACTAAAAGATATTCAACTATACATTGAGGATGTGATTTTTGAATTAGCTTAATTTATAAAAAAGATGTTTTTGAATGATCCAGTACGACAAACACCAAATATTTTCTCGGTTTTTATATTATTGTTGAAACGATCTCTATTACAAATTTGTAGAAACAAAATACGATTTGTGATGGATCAGATATTAAATTTTTTTTGTGATTCATTTCTTTCAGCAGCTGTCAGTAACTACAGATATATCGGTTCTCTACCACAAGAATTATGTA